TGGCAGCGAAGGGTGACCGAGGGTTTCAGTCGGCCATTGGCATTCATCACGGCTCCCTTCCCTCCTGCCCTCTGCCCAGGGCTGGCTCTCTGCTGGGACATGCCACGCAGTGCCCAATAGCGTGTCGGTGAGGCGGGGACAGTAGCAGAGCGCCCGTGACTCATAGCTGTTTCCCTCAGGGCCCTCCGCTCCTGGAGCCTACACAGCAGTAGCTAGGCTGGGACAAGTGGGGACGGCTGCCCCGGCCTGCGTGCCTGTTTCCTTTAACAAAGCAAACCATGCTCCACGCCGACAACTTGGGCACAAGCGTGTTCCCGTCCCCCCCCAGCCCAGCCCTCTCCCTAGCGCCCAGGGCCATCTCTAAGGATGGGGCGGATGCCCTGGCCGCCAACATCCAGGGGTCATCACCACAGCACAATCCGTCACCTCCACTCTGATTGGCTGGCTGTGGGTTTTTTGGGTTCTATGGGGGTCGGGGGACACTGAAAACTTTTTCCACCCTGGGCTGCTCCTGCCAGCATCCCTGCCCTCCGTCCACCCTCCAGCCCAACCCTCCCCTCTCACTCATTAAACCTGCGTGGTGCCTCTTCTCTCTGCTATGGCAGTTGGCTCTCTGGGTAGGGACTCTCCCTCTGCACAGCGCCAGGGCAACGCGGCAGGCCATTGCCAAAGCCGGCTGCAGCACCTCCGGCATGCCATTGTCCTCAGGGGCACTCACCTGCAAGCCAAGCCCTCCGGGGTCCCCTTTCTCGCCCTTCAGCCCATTCATGCTGGGACGACCCTGTAGACAAACATCAAGCCAAGGGTTCAGAATGCAGTAACTTATTGTAGACACTGCTCAGTCCCACAGCTGTGCTGACTCCGGCTGATGGCACACCACCACACACTGCACCCGAGGAGGGCTTTCTTAGGCAGCACTCCTCTCACTAAAGCAGAAGAGAAAATGCACCAGGGAGGGAGGGGAACATGCCCTCAATGAATTGGAGACGTTTGTGAGCCCCCAAGCTCTACCAGTTCATGTAGTTCTACTGACCAGTGCTGTGACCATCCAGTTCGAGCTCCTGTACAGCACAGCCCAGAGACCTGCCCCACAGTCATTCCCAGAGCAGAGCTCTTAGAAAAACAGCTGACGTTGGTTTAAAAATTGTCAGTGATTGAGAATCCACCGCAACCCTTGGTAAATCGTTCCAGAGGTTAATTACTATCACTGTTATAAATGTACACCTTATTTCCAGTCTGAATTTATCTGGCTTCAACTTCCAGCCATGGGAGTGTGTTAGAGCTTTTCTCTGCTAGACTGAAGAGCCAGTTATTAAATATTTGTTCCCCATGTAGGCACTTATAGATCATGATCAAGTCACCCCTTAACCTTCTCTTTGGTAAGCTACATAGATTGAGCTCCTTGCGTCTATCACTCGAAGGCAGGTTTTCTAACCCTTTCATCATTCTTGTGGCTCTTCTCTGACCCCTCTCCACTTTATCGACATCCTTCCTGAATTGTGGGCACCAGCACCGGACACGGGATTCCAGCACCGTTCGCACCAGTGCCAAATACAGAGGCAAAATTACCTCTCTCCTCCCACTCCAGATTGCCCTGTTTATGTATCCCAGGATAGCAATTGCTCAGCTTGCTTGTGTGCATCTGGTGAAAACACGAGCACAGCGAGAGCTCTTCAGCTGAGGAAGCTTGCAGCATCGCCAGTGTTCCCTATTAGCCTCAGCATGGGGGTGTCTCCACTTCCTGCAGCCAGGCAGGCAATGGGAGCACCAGACCCAGCTCACCCAGGGAACAAACCAGAGACGAGCTAAGAGAAGTTCTTACCGGTCTGCCAGGAAAGCCGATTTCCCCCTTCTGTCCAGGTCGCCCATGCGGGCCCTAAAAGGGAGAGCAGGAAAGGAATACACACTCAGTCTGCTCACCCATGCAGGGACAACATGAGCAGAAACAGAGGGGTAAGCGGTGCAGCTGGCTCTGTGCTACGAAGGACAAAGGACACTGGAGTGGAAAAGCCTGGTCATGCCATGCTTCATTCCAGTGTCCTCAGCATACACCTCCTGGCTCTGTGCATTCCTAAGTACATCAGAATGGCCATACTGGGTCACACTGATAGTACATTCAGCCCAATAGCCTGTCTTCCAACCATGGCCAGAGCCAGGTGCTTCTGGCAGTCAGAGGTTTAGGGACACCCAGAGTGCGGGGTCATGTCTCTGACCATCTTAACTAATAACCATTGACGGACCCATCCTCCATGAACTGATCTAGTTCTTTTGTTCAGTTATACTTTTAGTCTTTACAACATCCCCTGGCAATGAGTTCCACAGGTTGACTGTGCATTGTGTGAAGAAGTACTGCCTTTTGTTTTAAACTTGCTGCCTATTAATTTCATTGGGTCACCTCTGGTTCTTGTGTTATGTGAAGGGGTAAATAACACTTCCCTATGCACTTTGTTCGCATCATTCATGATTTTATAGATCTCTGTTATATCCCCACTTCAGTCATTTCTGAACAGTCCCAGTCTTTTTAACCTCTCCTCATATGAAAGCTGTTCCATACCCCTAGTCATGTCTGTGGCCCTTCTCTGCACCTTTTCTAATTCTGAGATCTTTTTTGAGATGGGGTGACCAGAACTGCGCGCAGTATTCCAGGTGTGGGTGTACCATGGATTTATACAGTGGCATTTGGTGGAATCTCCTTCCTTAGAGGTTTTTAAAGTCAGGCTTGACGAAGCCCTGGCTGGGATGATTTAGTTGGGGATTGGTCCTGCTTTGAGCAGGGGGTTGGACTAGATGACCTCCTGAGGTCCCTTCCAACCCTGATATTCTATGATTATGACATTTTCTGTTTTATTATCCATCATTTTTCTAATGGTTCCTAATATTCTGTTAACTTTTTTTGACTGCCGCTGCACATTGAGTGGATGTTCTCCGAAAACTACCCACAATGACTCCAAGATCTCTTTCTTGAGTGGTAGCAGCTAATTTAGACCCCAACATTTTATATATATAGTTGGGATTATTTTTTCTTATGTGCATTACTTTGCACTTTTCAACATTGAATTTCACCTACCATTTTGTCACCCAGTCAACCAGTTTTGTGAGATGCCTTTGTAACTCTTTGCAGTTTGCTTTGGACTTAACTATCTTGAGTAATTTTGTATCATTTGCCAATTTTGCCACCTCACTATTTACCCCTTTTTCCAGATCACACATGAATATGTTGAATAGGGCTGGTCCCAGAACAGACCCCTGGGGGACACAACTACTTATCTCTCTCCATACTGAAAACTGCCCATTTATTCCTACCCTTTGGTTCCCATCTTTTAACCAGTTACCAATCCAGGAGAGGACCTTCCCTCTTATCCCAGGACAGCTTACTTTGCTTAAGAGTCTTTGATGAGGGACCTTGTCAAAGGCTTTCTGAAAATCTAAGTACACTATATCCACTGGATCCCCCTTGTCCACATGCTTGTTGACCCCCTCAAAGAATTCTAGTAGATTGGTGAGGCATGATTTCCCTTTACAAAAACCATGTTGACTCTTCCCCAACAAATTATGTTCATCTATGTGTTTGACAATCTTGTTCTTTACTAGAGTTTCAAACAATTTTCCGGGCTTGGGTGTGGGAATCTCTCTCACATCCTCTAGGGTGAAAATGTATGCAAATAATTTATTTAGCGTCTCCAAATAGCATTGTCTTCCTTGAATGCTCCTTTAGTCTCTCCATCACGTAGTGGCCTCACTGCCTATTTGGCAGGCCTCCTGTTTCTGATGTACTTAAAATTTTGTTGCTGTTAGTTTTTGTGTTCTTAGCTAGTTGCTCCTCAAATTCTTTCTTGGTCTGTCATATTATACTTTTACATTGGATGTACCAGAGTTTATGCTCTTTTCTATTTTCCTCACTAGGATCTGACTTCCAAATTTTAAAAAGATGCCTTTTTGCCTCTAGCCACCTCTAGCTCTCCTGTCCGTGATAGCTGGGCCTTTCCTGCAGCTCAGATAGTGCATGTGAGTTGTGAGCATTGCTCAGCACCGATCCACAGACATCTGGGTCGGAGGCCACATGCCTGCTCCTGGCAATTGGACCCTGGCTAGAGAGTCAGAAGGGCTCCAGAACAAGCTCTGGGGTTTGCCAAACCCTTGGCTCCTCTGGCCGACTGCCCCATGCGAGTGCTTGCGAATGAGCACTCGCTCTGAGCACCGCCCATTTGGGCTGGCGTTTCCATTGCAGATCCCACTTCGGTACCTCTCAAACCAGTTCTGAGCAAGACGAAAGGAGACTGCTCTTGGAGTATGAAGACCATCCCCCTGAACACACAATCTGTGTGCGCGACCCCCCGTTGTAGTGAACACCTGGCACCCAGAGGGCGTGAAAAGCCATCCCTTATTGACAGAATGTTAGAAAGATGTAGGTGCTAACTTACTGCTGGGCCCATGGGTCCCACCAGCCCCTGCTCACCCTGTGTGCAAAGAACAGGAAAAGAATTAGCATTAGGATGCACATGTGGCCATCCCACAGTCTCTTCCTGGGGCCATTTCTCCATCACCCCCATGCTGACGTTATCTCCCCATCTCGGGGTGCCGCTGCTGTGCCGGCCATGTTGTCCCCAGCACCGCCCACACTGAGCACAGCCTACTAACAGCTCTTGCAGGCAAGGGACTAGGAAGTGGCCTTTCCCAGTGCTCACGTACCACCAACACCCTGGGACATTTGGGGAATTGTGTCCATGTTGTGGACAACACACCCGATTGCCCTGCAACCTCCCTAACCATGAGCCAGCCTCGAACTCTCCTCGCTCCCGCAATGAGCTGACCTCCCTCGGCAGGTTCGGCCCTGGCAGCTGTGGGGGCCGAAGGGCAGGGACGGCTTGGTGCCCTGGCTGAGCATCGGAATGAGATGTGTGTGCGTGTGGGGGCGGGGGTGAGCATCGGAGGGAGATGGGCGCAGGGACAGAGCAATGTAGGCCAGTGCAGTGAGTCATGGCCAGTCGTTGCAGCCCCAATTCCCCAGACTGGGTGTGAGCCCTCACTGCATCCCATGGCTGCTCAGTGTACATACTGCCCCCCAGAGGCAGATAAACCTTCGTGTGAAGCGGCAGGTTGGCCCTGAGCAGACCCTGCCCTGGAGCCAGCTACCCCCCACTTCCCAGGGCGTGGTGCTCCACCCTGCGTCGGGGCACCCAACGCTGGGTGAGCACCCACAGCAGGCCCGACGAGAGCCCGAGTCAGCGCGTGACCTTGTCTCCTTTCGTGCCAGCTGAGATGCCCGTCCCATCTGGGCCGATGATCGCTCCAGGCTCTCCTTTCTCACCCTTCCAGGAGATAAAACACGCAGGAGTCAGAAGAGAGACAACCCAGCCCTTGCCCAAACAGCTGCCTTCCCACGCCTCTCCGCGGCTGCCCAGGCGGCAAGGGAGAGCTGCTCTCAGAGTTTCTCTAACAGTTAAATACAAGCCCAGAGGGCTACGCTCTGGCTGTGGACTCACCCTGGATGGGGCGGTGCTCTGCTGCACTGCCCAAGAACAGACTGTGACCTAAGAGAGGTACGGCTGACAAACGGATGGGGACTTCTGTCCCTTTCCTTTGCTTCTCCACCATCTCTCTGGGCTCCCAGCGTGGGAGAGCACAGCTTACCTTAGTAAAGTGTCATTGCTAAAGACTGGGCTAATGAAAAATAATGGCACAAATTACTCAGATTCTAAGGTCAGAAGAGACCACTGTCATCATCCAGTCGGAGCTCCTGTACAGCACAGGCCAGAGACCTGCCCCACAATAATCCTTAGAGCAGAGTTTGTAGACAAACATCCAATCTGGATTTAAGAAGTGCCAGTGATGGAAAATTCATGGCCCTTGGTAAGCTGTTCCAATGGTTAATTGCTGTAATGGTTAAAAATTTACACCTTATTTCCCGTCTGATTTGTCCGGCTTCAACTTCCAGCCACTGGACCCTGTTAGACCTTTCTTGGCTAGATTAGTATTTGTTCCCCATGTCTTATGTTTTGTTCCCCAGGTAATCAAGTCACCCCTTAACCTTGTCTTTAAATTAACGAGATTGAGCTCCATGAGTCTATCACTCGAAGGCAGGTTTTCTAATCTTTTAAGCATTCTTGTGGCTCCTCTCTGATCCCTCTCCACTTTATCAACATCCTTCCTGAATTGTGGGCACCAGGCCTAGACACAGTATGGCAGCAGCACCAGTGCCAACTACAGAGGTAAAATAATCTCTCTGCTCCTACTCGAGATTCCCGTTTATGCATCCCAGCATCGCATAGCTCAGTTTGTGAGCATGAGGGGACAGAGCTAGCATGGCGAGAGCTCCCTGAGCCAAGCTGGGGCTTCTCAAGGCATCATGGAAACCCCACGACTGGAGACATTTAAAACAACTCCACAAAAGGCAGCAGGGAGCAGTCCTGCAGCAGCAGTGGGGATGGAGGGATGGGATAAGCCAGAAGGTGATTTTACACCTGGCATTTCTCTCATTCAATTCGTTCCACTGGCAGAGAGTGTGACCACTGGATTCCCTGGTACCAAGCTGCTGGAAGGAGCACAGCTGCTCTCCTATTACTCTCCTGGGATCTGGTGACATCTCACAGAGTGACGGCCGCCAGCGTGGTGGCCTCAGGTGCCTGAACCAATATGAATTTCCACACCCCACAGGGCTAAAGGAGTCTGAGGTCAGTGCTGTGACACGACTGTGTATGGTCCCTTCCACTATGAACTGGGAGCTGGCAAGGACCTGTCAGTGGGGCTGGGAGCCAGAGAGCAGGAACTTCGTAGACAGGAAACATCACATCGCCACAAATCAAAATCACCCATTGAGCACGGGGGACAGAGACAAGCAGACAGGCCGTCCTACCTTCGGTCCTGGAGTGCCTGGGAAACCTGGGTCTCCCGGGTCTCCTTTAGGTCCCACTGGGCCCTGCAAATGGAAGCAGGGAGGAATAGCCATGAAGACAGTGTAGTGATGCAGGACACTCCTTTACTTCCAGTACTGTGGGCTTCCCGCAGGGGCGCTGGAACAGTTTGTATAGTGGGGGGGCTGAGAGCCACCGCACCAAACGGTAAACCCGGGATATGATGGAAACCACTTCAAGCCATCACCCCTAGTTCCAGCACCTGTGACTTCTCCCAAGGTGGGCAGGCAGGGAGACTCCTTCCCAGGGCTTAGAAAGCTCAGGCCCACAAAAGGCATTTGCAGCTTGCTTCACCAGCAGCCTGCTTGCTTTGGCAGGCAGGAGTTTGCACTTAATGTATTCGGCCAAAAAAAATAAAACGTGCTGCACAGCTCAGCTTGTCTCGCACAGCCTGTGTAGCAAACACGTCTCCACAGACAGTGTTTAAAAAAATCTTAAAGCTCTTGAAAGTGACGGGAATCAAAATGAACCTCCGCTCTGGCCCATTCACAGGCAGGCCTCCACAAACGCCCTGCCCCGCCATCCGACAGAGGTGGTGTCTCGCGGGTGCCACGTTAGAAAGAGTGAAGGGGCCAGATTCCCAGCCAGCGTACGCAGGCTTTGACTCCAATGGGGCTACACTGGTCTACACCAGCTGGGGATCTGGCTCAGAGAGGAACTAAGCATTTAGCTCCAGGTCCAGGCTGTGAACACCCCGGATTGGTGGGTGTCTGGATGCGGTGTAGGCTCCCACCGGGGACACGGGCTCCTCAGCACGGGGCTCAGGTCTCTTTCCCATTCTCAGTAAAATCCTAAAGCTACTCACCGGGAAGCCAGCATGGCCTTCTCTGCCCTGAGGAAAGAAACAGACACCTGTAAACTCTCTCCCCTCAGGCACTGGGATAAGCGTAAAACGGTTGATGCACAAAGGGGACTGCTGGGGCTGCTGGCTGGACAAATGACAGGGGGATGCTCAGGGCTACGTACCTCAGGGCCTGGCAAACTAGCTAATGCTCTCTGAAAAGGAAAAGATACACATTAGACCGCGGATCCTCGCCGTCTTCCTCCTGCCTCCCTCAGCGATGTCCAGAACTGACCTTCTGCCAAGGGAGGGGCTGACCCATTAGGAAACTTTGCACAAACTTCAGCGGGCTTTGGCTCAGGGTCACTGCTCTGCTTGCTAAGGGCGATGTGCCCTCTCCCCAGCGTGACATGCCCCAACCAAACTCGGGTTCTATGGGGTTGGTCCTTTCCCATTTATCGCCACTTATTCCCTCTCCCGCTGACGTGCTTTTATCAGCTAGGGGTCACAGTGCACGAGAAGCTGGATATGAGTCAACAGGGTGCTCTTGTTGCCAAGAAGGCTAACGGCATTTTGGGTTGTATAAGTAGGGGCATTGCCAGCAGATCGAGGGACATGAACCTGTGGTGTATTTTTAGTTATAGCACTGGCCTGGTCTAGCTCCCATTTGTCTGCGTTTCACCTCCAGCCAGCTCTGATTTCCCTTTGCCTAAACCCTCCGCTCTCTTCTTTCCTCTTCCAGCCCTTCCCGCTTGCAGGGCCGGCCTCTCTGAACTCACAGGAGTATCAGCCCGCGGGAGCGCTCTCAGGCGTGGGGCTTTTACTCCACGTTAAACATGTGCCTTTCCCCAGGGAGCGGCTCCACAGCCCGGCCCAGTCCCGCCAGCAGTGACACACCTGCACCCAAGCGCAGCCCGGCTCCAAGCTGCACGAGCCATGGGACGCTGGGGCCCCAGCCGGGGTCAACACCAGCCCATAGTAACTCCCCAGTGCTAGGCGGGATAAGGCACTGCTCAGCCTGGTGCTAAACCTGAAGGAACTGGCACATAGCAGCTGGGTGTGGGTAGAGAGGGAACAGGTTGAGAACAGCCTGGGCCCAGGGGACCCAGAGACAGAAGTGCAGGCCGCAGGGTGACGCGTCCTTACCTCTTCACCCAACTCATAGATGACCTGCCCCGGGGGTCCAGGGAGCCCGGGGGGACCTGGGGAGCCCACTCCATCTTGGCCTCGTTCACCCTGAGAAAGACAATTCAGTGCAGGCTTCCTTCCTACTGCACCCAACCTCAGCCCACACTGCCCCCTCTCGCAACTGCGCTCCCCCCCCAAAGCCTGCCCCCCCTCGTAACTACGGGCCCAAGCCCCCGAGCCCACCCCACCGCTCATAACTGCGGGCCCAGGCCCCGAGCCCAGACCATGCCCCTCACTGGGCCCCCGAGCCCAGACCATGCCTCCCCACCTT